CGCGGCGCGTATCGGATATTCGAGTAGCTTCCTCGAGTAGCTATTTAGTTTTCCTTGTTTAAAGGAAATTACGAGATAAGCTCTTTCGAGATACGTCGGAGTGACTCTTCTCCAGCAGCACATTGTTAAGAATTTATTCGAACGATTTACTACGTTGTATTTAATTATTTTCTCTGGCTTCTAAAGGCGTTCTTATATATTGATATCTTGTTCTCTTAAATCATTTTCTCTCTCTCTCTCTCTCTCTCTGACATTATCGTTCAAATGTATACGTATTGCATGATTGTACGCTTTTCTCAGAAATGAACAGCGAATCATGAAGACACGAGACAGTACATAATATATATTTTGGAAAACCCATTTCACTTATTTTGCGCGGCTTTTTTTCCTCTCTAAACCGAGTCAAATGAGTTTATTATGACTTTCTTTTCTCCTAATCATCCACGATATTCCCTCGCGCAGTACAGATATTACTGCAGTAGTGGAACGTATCTCTCTAGAAAAAGTGTGTCTCGTTTCTGCTACGACTTCTACCGTCAGAAGAACAATTCATTTTATATCTTTTCATTATGTGAGAGAGCATAGTGTTTTCTACTTCTCTTTTCTAGAGTATTTTTCCGTAATTGGCAAAACAGAAATACAATTAACCATCAAGTATCACGACAGAATTTTTCACATTCTGTGGAAAGAAAATTTATATCACATTACGTCGGTGTTTATCTTTTATCTTCGGTTTTCACTTTTAAAGTTGCAAACTGAAATAATAAAAGTTTTAATGAAGCGAAAATGGATCTCATCTAGATTTTTGCCGTGAATTTATAATAGGTCAATTTATTTGAATTGCCAAAATAAAAATATAATATAAAAATATATAAAAAATCATAACATTTATATTTTGATTTTTTATTGTTATAATATGTGATTGACGTCAAAATATTTTTTTTTTCTTAAATAATTAATAATGGTGCGAATTTTTATTTAATAGAGAGGAGACGGTTCGCCGTCGGCATTTCTCGTAGCTTATGACCTTTCTGCAATATTTATAGAAAAGCTCCCATTATATCATGCACGTACATATCTGCCGGCATAGTTCTATGCGAGAGAGAGATGCGAGTTTCTAATTAAAATATATTGAATATATTAAATTGTGTTTTTCACATGAGAGCCGTATCAATTTCTTTTTACTTATTGCTCGTTTTAAAATATATTATTATATTTTACATGCTAAAACGTGTTAATTTGTAATATCATAAACAGAATACGTATTATTATTCATTAGAGACATTTTTTACAACAAATATAAATTATAAAAGATTTTTTAAAAACAGTATCTCTACTTTTCCTATGACTAAATTACTTTTCACAAATTTTTACATTACATGAAAGTAATGTAATTAATCTGTATGCGCGCGCGCGCGCATACATATACCCACACATTGTGTTTGAATTAATTAATTTTATCTGCATTTGTTAACGCGCACATTCCTTTCAGCATTATCACTGGCTCCTTTGACTGTTGTCGCGTATCTTATACGAAGTTGGCAATTAATTAGAATTATTCTTACATATGTATTTTGGAATCGTGCATATCCCAACTTAATTCGCATATTAATATCATTAGTATTATAGAGAGATAATGTACGTCATTAGTTGTTGTTCATATTAAACTCTAGCGTGTCGTGATTCTCTTGGCTGTCACTTGTAACGTCCAATTTTAGATCGAGACCTTTGTACGTACTTTGTAACGTGATATTCAAAATGCTTTGAGATATTATATCCAAGAATATCTGAAGATGAATTATACTTGTACGATAATTGATCATATTAATCTTTTAATATATACATGTATATGTATGTGTATTACATATTGTGTGTGTATGAATTACGTGTATCTCTTGGTGGAATATTAATATAAAATATACGCAATATTGCAAAATATCAATTAAATTGAGATATCATATATAGAAGTACCTGAGAATGAGGTAAATATTATTTTCCATAATTACGAAAATTTTCATATTAGCAAGTTAATTACATGCATACACACTTTAATGAATTGTAATAGTGTAATATTAATGAAATTTTACAAGCGATACTGCAATTTTGATCTTTATATAATAACTATCTCATTATATAATGTAAATTAGTTATAAACAATGTGTGTTGACCTGCAGTATAATTTTAAGCTATTTTTAGTATTTAACATTTATTTTTAATTTAGCAGTGCAATTTATTTATATTGTTATTTACGATTTCGCCGAACAAACGAGGCTGATTGATAATTATTTAATGGCGTTGTTTATTCTCGAAGATTCTCGTTGCATCAAGTAGTAATTTAGCTAGATGGTAGAGTGGGTAACTGCCAAAGTTATTCACAATCGTCGTGATATTCTTCGCGAAGAAGAAACGCAATTTTCTTTCGCGAGATGAGGAGGAAACAGGGGAGGATGAATAATGATTGCACGTTGATTATGTTGTATGCGAATTTGTCCTCGTGTATGCGAGAATTTATCAATGACATTACTCCGGCAGGATACGCACGGGGGGGG